GCAGCTCCCAGGCCAGCCTCGCTTCCCATCTGCTCCTCCGTTAACAAGCAGCTCTGAATTTACTGCTGTCAGCACTGCAGAGCCCGTACAGCCGCACAACGGCAACGCACCTGCTTCGGCAACGACCCCGCAGCCTGCGGGGCTGCCAAATCCCACCGGGAACAAACCCAGAGCCGGACCCACCCTCCCCCCCCCCCGAGCCTGGCGGGGGTCAGGGCTGTACCCCCGGAGCTGGGCTGGGGAAGGTCCAAGCTCAGCTCCCAGCTGGGTGGGAATCGAGGGCTGCTCGGGGGCCAGCGAGAGATTTGCACCAATTTTTGGCAGCAAGAGCTGAGCCCTCACCTCTGGGCTTGGGGCATTGCCTGTTCCCCAGCCGTTTGCTCCTGCCTGGGCTTTGAGGGGGTGGCAGGGAAGCAAGTCAGGTCTCAGCACACTTTCAAAGGGCTTTTATTTATTCACAAAACAACCACAAACGCATATAAGAAAAAAATGGGAGAAAACCCCAACCCAGGAATATGCACAATCTACTATTAACAAAAGAATTGCACAAATAGAGGAGCGAGTGCAGAGGAAGGACCTGCAAGCCGGGACCTGCTCTGCGCCGCTGCACGAGCCCTTCCCCACCCTCGCACCCTGTCCACCAAAACACGAAGATCAGTTTGCTGGTGTCCCGTTAGAAATCCGAAACAGTTGGCGGCGAAGGCGGCTGGTGCTGCAGGCTGGGTCCTCCCACCTGGGCTGGGAGGGAAACAGCCTTTACCCCAAAGGGACGACACCCGGGAGGGACTGGGCTCCCGGGTTCAGCGCCGCCGCCCTCCCCTCGCGCTGGGTAGGGATTTGGGGTCTTCCCTATGGTTTTCCATCTGCTCCTGCCCTGCCTGCCAGCTCCCTGCCTGCCCCGGACGCCTCAGAGCACGGAGCATCACGGAGCTCCCGGGAAAGAGCAGCCAGAGCTGGTCTGGACCTCGCAGGATGGAGGAAGGATGGGGAGGCTGCAGGGACGCTGGTCCTTCCCTGCTCCCCAAGGGCTTTTTTGGGCAGGAACTGGCTGTGCTGAAGCCCCCAGGGAAGGGAAACCTCGGCTGAGCTCTCTGCAAACCCAGTGGCGTTTGCAGACGAAAACAGGAGGTGAAATGGGCGTGAGGAAGAAATACCGGGCAGCCATGAAGCGGGACAGGGTTGCAGACGGTGTGAGATCCAACACCTGCGTTCCTGCTGCATGGAAATTGGTGAGGACTTGGTATTTCTTCTGCCAAAATGGGAAGAAAAAACGGGTATTTGGATTGCTGGGGGGGTTGCAAAGCAAATTGCAGAACAGCAGCAACTCACTGCAGAGCCACTGGAATATCCTGGTTTGATTTCAGCCCCTTTTTACATTTTCCAAGTATAATCTAACGTCATTTTCACAGCAGAAAATCCATTTTTCTTTCCTCATCTCTTAAATAAAATGGCTGAAACCAACCAGATTTCACACCAAAAATGATTTTGTTTTTCCAAGGGCCAGTCTGGGTGGGGAAGCTTCAGCCAGTATTTTAGGAGCAGAGGAAAGCCTGGTCTTCACCTGGCTTTTTCCATCCTCAGAGCCCAAACACTCACAGGGGACCCAGCCAGTGCCTCCGTAGGGCGAGTGGGGAAACTGAGGCAGAGTGTGAGTGTCCCTGACCAGCAGCCAGGGTTCAGCCCCTCTCCATGGGCATTGCCACCAGCTCCCTCCACCGTCCCCGTTCCCCCCGTACCTGCGCGAGGGTCCCGGCGGGCGGGTGGTCATAGGATGCCGCAGACGGCACCGGCATCCTCGGAGTGGTCGCAGTTGTGGACGTCCCAGCGGATGTGGGAGCAGCGCAGCAGCGAGGGCTCGTGGCCCTTGCACTTGAGGTTGTCGAGGAAGATGTAGCCAGTGCCCTGGCCGTAGCGTGCCTCCCCCCAGGCTGCCACGGCGTGCCCGCAGCCCAGCTGCCTGCACACCACCTTGGCATCCCGCAGGTCCCAGGCGTCATCGCACACCGTCCCCCACTGGGACAGGTAGAACATCTCCACGCGCCCCTCGCACCGGTGGCTGCCGTTCACCAGGCGCATGGACCCTGCGGAGGGGATGGGGTGAGGCAGCCCCGGGGGCAGCCCCTGCCCATGCTCACCCCAGCACTGCGTACCCCTCTCCCTGCCTGCCACCGCCCTGGGACAGTTGGTACCCGTCGGGCTGGCTCCACAGGGCTGGCAGAGAAGGGGCCCGTCCTGGCCAGGTGGCCCCAGGGCAAGAAGAGCCCTGGTCTCTCCAAGGCTGGGCAGATGTTTGCTGCTCCCCACGGCTCCACCACTGCTTCTGCACAGGCAGGGGCACGAGGGGGTTACCACTTGCCAGCATCACAGCTGGGGCTGACCCCCAAAGCATCGCGGTGGATGTTCAGGTTGAAGGAACAGACAATAATCTCTGTTCCCAGCTCAGCCCCATTGGACCATCCCCTCCTCTCCCCACCGAGGTCCATCACCTGAGGTCCATCACCTCCTCTGCCCGGACCAGCCTTGGGGGCACCGGGAGTGGCCACGGCTTAACGGTGCCACCAGCACGGCTTTTCCCCCTCTCGTGGGCTGCTCCAGGTCAGTGCTTCAGGCACTGCCGAAGCCACTGGCCACTGCCCAAGCCACCTCTGTTTCCACCCTGTGCCGGTGTAGAGCGTCCCCAGGGCTGGCACTGCGTCCCCATTGATGCCTCGATACCTACCATCCTTGGGACGGGTCGGGGCCGACGTGGTGGTTGTAGCGGTGGCTTCTTGGAAATGGTCTCCAGCATCGTCAGCGCCTGGTGCAGCGGGGAAGGGGTGGGAAAAGCGACTCAGGGGACTCCTGTGTCCCCCCAGGGCTGGGTCAGAGCCCCTCAGCAGTGGTGTGGGGCTGGCTGAGGATGGATGCAGGGATGTGTGGGGTGGGATGTGCAGCCACTGTGCTTCCAGGAAAGTGCACAAGTGGAGACCAGAGGTGGTACCCACGCTCCGGCCATCACCGGTCACCACGGCACCCGACCACTGCTGCTGTCCCCCCGTGGGCAGGAGGAACACCATGGCCTTGGGGCTCACATTCACCCATCACCCTATTTCAGGGACCCCCTTTCCCATGGCCAGCATCTGTGTGGCTGAAATCCCGTTATCTCATGGGATTTCCACGCCACCGAGCCGGGCTTCAGCGGAGACCTGGGGAGCCGCGTGCAGTCGGA